GGACATCAGTCTTCGGAGGCTAGGTGTGCCCTTCCCCCAGTCTTGAGCAGGCCTGAAAGACCTTGTTTACCACAACAGACCAAGTGATAGGATCTAGGTGGAGTTACCCACCTCGGCTGCATGGAACTTAGAAGAACTGCCCCTGGGCTTGCCTTGAGATATCTCCATGACCAAGGACGGATTATCCCACCCATCTCCAGCTTAAACCAGAAAGGGTTTTAGTGGGGCCTTTCCCTTTAAATTGAAAGCTGAACATTAAAACATTGAGCCTTGATCAGAGAACTTTGTCTTGGCTTCATCTCTTCTCGCCCTCCATCCTTCCTTTCATTCCCAGCCAACCCCTTTCAGGTGAACCCAGTTGATCTGTGGCCACAGGCGGCTACAGCTAGGAACAGAATTTTATGGCTTGAATATATAAAGAGCCCTTGTAGGCTCATGATTTGAATGCTTAGTCCCCGGATGGTAATGTTATTTATGGAAGACCTAGAAATGCAGGCAGTGGGCTGACCTGGAAGAAGTATCTCACAAGGGATGGGAAAGTGTGAACATCTGACCTTGGAGACCAGAGGCCAATCTCCCATATCAGTCTATTGTTATTATTATTATTGTTGTTGTTGTTGTTATTATTACTATCATTGAGACAGGGGCTCTCAGTGACTCTGGAGCTCAATGATTGGCTAGACTGGCTGGCTAGCTGAGCCCGTCCCAACCTACACAGTGCTGGGATCATAGAAATGTGTCACCATTGCCACCATTCACAGCCTTCTACATGTGTAAGGGATTTCCAAAGTCAAGACTTAACGCTGTGTGTGCAGCAAGCACGTTACCTCCCGATCCACCTTCCCCGCCCCAGAGACTGACGAACTGATTATCAACATTAGACTGAATTCTAGGACCCAGAATCTTCATGGAATCAACAGACATGAGAAGAGGATCATCTCCACGTTTAGCAGTGAAGAGGCTCAAAGCTGGAAACAGGAGCTGGGTAAACAGACTGACACTTTTCTGGCCCTCACTCCCGAGCCCTAGAAACTTCTGTAAACCATATGAGGTCCCGCTTTTACTGTAAAACATGATAAAGTCACCTTGGTAGCGATCTTCATGACAGAGACACATGCTGATATATAGGCAACACAGCATGGAAGAGACCGGGAAAGGGGGGAACAACAAGACATTGGAGCCCGAAATGCCACACACCCATTATGCCTCACAAGGTCCAACATCATCAGGTTCTCCCCAGTGCTGGAACGGATTGCCGTTGACTTAGTGGAGTACCAGATGAAGCTGTTGGCTTGCCTTCAGGAGCCATGTCGTAACAAAAAGGAACCTTCTCTGAAAACATCAGATCCACACCCAGCCAAGTGAGACACCCAGCGTGCTGAAGCAGCCATGCCAAACTCACACCACTCATTTCTCCAGCCACCGTCTCTCCACCTGTCAAGGAGGAAAGCACACTGTGCTTCTATTATTCCTACGCTTCTCCCAAGGACTCAGAAAGGGTATACACAGACAGGTGTTCCAAAAAACTTTACAAAGCCCATACCAGTAAAATAAAATCTCTCAGATCAGCTTGCCACATTGCCTCTATGCTTGCTTTATGGAGCCAACATTTACATTAAGGGCGTATCTATATGGAGTATCATAGAAGCCCAGACCACCGGAAACATATCCAGTCGGATGCCACCACAAAATCGCACCAGCCACAAAGAGCTGTTGATGCTGGGAGCTCACTTGTTCCCAACATAACTTTTTCCCTGCTGTATTTTCAACATTTTTGGTGATGATCTGACTTCCGATTCTGTATAATCTTCCTCCACTGACTCCAGGAGCATCTTTTACAGCCACAAGGCAGGTCATTCTCCTTCTGACTCTTGAGATACTTGAAGGCAACCATCATACACTTTCTTGTCACAAGACCAGCCCTCATGTTCCATTCTGGGTACCTGTCACCACGTATGCAAAATTTATCAGTGTTCCCATGACAGGGTGGCGGGATCCAGCCTGTCCATAAATTAGGCTCTTCTCCCGAGTAGTTCTTTCTGTCCTGGGCAACAGCTGCCTGTGTATTATAGTAAGTCAAGGTAAGTCATTCTTTAGTAAGTAATTGACACAAGACACAGATGGTAAAATTCAACTGCTACCTTAATGATACAGAAAAAAAAAAAGACAAAAAAAATGTCTGACTCCCTCCCTACATCTGTTTCCCAACAATTCATTCATCAAATTTCATGTTTTGAAAAAAATAAGTTTGTCGGTGTTTTCTCTTGTGGCGCATGGTCCTAGCTAAGAGACACTAACTCAAAGTCACCAAGGTTTGTGCCACCTTTAAAGTTTATCATTTAAAGGCCTAAATGTGAACTTGGGATTTGTTGTGTGTTGTGCACAGTGGCAAGTTCATTGTGTGCTCTGCAGGTATTTAGAGTTACATGCCTCTGTCTCTCTTTTTCATTTTTTATTACTATATATTAATTATACAAAGGTTTTTTCTTCCAACTTTCCTCCTTCTCTCCCTTTCCACCTTCATTCTTTCTTTCCCTCTGTTCAGAATGAAATGGATGCAACCGACGATCTCCGTGGTGAGGTAGTGAGTCCTCTAGGGGAATCTAATTTTTAACATTGCCGATTGTCGGTATTTGAAATCTGCCCAAGCCTTTGTGTTCAGGATTGTACACTCATGCCATCCCTGGAATTCAAGACACTGAGACTAACATTTTCAAATGTCAGGCAATAATCATGAATATCATGCTAGTTCTCGAACCTGTAACATGGAAAACCCATTTGTCTAATGCTAGTTAAGAACTGGAAGCACAGCAAGGCTGTCTCACCAAAAGATTGGAAACAATTGGCATTCACTGAGTTCCCACAGTTCCATGCTTCGTAGAAGACCAGCGGTTGAGTAGGTCCTCTCTCTGCAACCTGTTCTTAGTACAGTGGCAAGGATGTGCAGCAGACGCAGGCTGGGGTGGGTACGCTACGATATCTGTTTGTGGGTTTTTGCTAAGAGTTGACAACATAAAACTTGTTGGGAACATTACACATTAGTCATTGAGGAAGATGAGGAAGATGCCAAGAGGGCTTTTAATGAGCCTCTCTTGGTGTGAACATAAGTTAAAAAGAATAGCTAGATATAGGTATTAGAATGCATGAAAAGAAACGAGACAGCTTTCCGGAAGGCTGAGCGGTATACAGGGTCATGTTCATTACATACAGAATGAACGGTTTCTTTGTGAAGCATAGTTTTGTTTGTTGTTAGTGGGGCAACTTTCCAAAAACACTTGACCTAGAAGGAACAGACCAACACGTTAGTCAGAAATATAGCTTTATTGTCATAGTATTTCATAATCTAAAAACTTCTCTTTTTTTTTTTTTCATTCTGGGAACAGAAATACTCTAACATCTACACATTTGACTGGCCCTGCAGCATACTGGAATGTAGCCTCCAAGCAAGCCGCACTTACGCATAAGAATCTGTTATTAGGGGCTGGAGAGATGGCTCAGTGGTTTAGAGCACCGACTGCTCTTCTAGAGGTCCTGAGTTTAATTCCCAGCAACCACATGGTGTCTCACAACCATCTGTAATGGGGTCTGGTGCCCTCTTCTGGTGTGTCTGAAGAGAGCAATTGTGGTGTACTCATATGCATAAAAATAAATAACTAAGTCTTTAAAAAAAAGAATCTGTTATTAGTTTAGGGAGGGGATTGAGGAATGACACAATAGTTCAAATGAAGATCTTTTCCCCCTTACAAAATAAATAATAAAATTCAATTTATACTTCAGTTTATCCTTGATTATAGTTTCCCAGAAACTTTGGTGATTTATTTAAAAAAATCACTGCTTCAGATCTAAGGTTGATTGCCTGAGGGGATGTGTGTGTGTGTATAACATATAAATGGAACTTGGCCATGATATAGGTGAATGATTCTTCCTTTGAACCAGCTCCCATACTTGAACAGCAGGTTTACGTCTCTAGGAAGTCTGTTGTACTTAATACATTTCCTTCTATGGAGGTCGGAATGCAGTTGAAACCCAAAAGACTTTTTAAAACGTAGTAAATCAAGCTTAAAACTATTTGTCTTGAGTAGTGTATATAAAGTAATACAACGTTATAGTGCTTTCCAACGATGAAGATGAACCACTGTCAAAGAGGGCTGCCCTACCTTCTAGGCTTGTTAAAGAAACACCAAAAATGACTTACTTTAAGAAAAGAGGAAACAAATCTGTCTACGTGATCGTCAAAACCAAGGTGCTGTTACTGTGCAAACGCTACAGGACAGGGAGCATGCGACACAATCAGCAAGTCACATTTTCAGTGTGGCCAAAGCTACGTCACAACCATGATATAAACATCAATAGTAACTATGGAGGAAACTTCTTATCCAAATAATAATAACATTACAGCTTTCACAACGTCAGCCTTAGCAGTGATAGGATTCTCAGCTAGTCCTTTCTCCCACTTGGAGTCTGCCTGCACACCACATGAAGATCTGTACCCCTAGGCCGGAAGTCAGTGAAGACTCAAACAACGACCTCTCCTCTACAAGGACAGGTTCAAAGTATCTGAAAACGATAAGTTCTCCTTTTTAATTTATTGTCATCCCAAGAAACTGCTTTATTATCTATTTTTAATATAATATGCTAATCAGATGCTTGTTGCAATAACAATAATTCTACTAGTGTTAGGTTACAGCCTTAATTTATAAAGTAAAGGAATTTGATTTACAGAAACAAAGCTATATCGTTTTAAAGCCACCCACCACAAACACACACTTTCTCCATGAGTATTTAAAAATAAACTATTTATATACTTGACATATATAGAGAGTATGTAATATATATATGTATATACTTATGGGCAACATTAATCCTGTTTTAGGAAGGATATCAGCACAAATACACTCTAGAGACCTGATGGTGTTGCTCACTTTAAGGAAAAATATAAAAATTCCTTCTGGAAGAAAATTTTAAATCAGGAAATTCTTGAAAGTTTTTCTTTTCATTTCTTTTTTTTTAAATGGCAAAAATGTCATTTGGGGAGATATTGAGGCCATATTTCACATGCATTCTTTTTCATCTTAAATTACAACAGAATGCACCGCACAATGAACAACCCAGGCATGTGGCTGAGAAGAAGGAAAGTGTACACCAGCCATAGAAGCAACAGGCGGCAAAGTGAGCTTCCGGGTGGAAACGGAAGTTAGCAAAGAGCATGCTCACGAGTAACCGGTAGCAAACCGGTGGTACTTCCAGGGAAGCGGGTGGTGGTAGAACATTGGGCGTCCCCGCAGCATAGCCAAGATGGCCATGGTACCCTGAATATGCCCTCCTCTAGCAATCAAGCACTTGGGTACCACATCAAAGATGCTGCTGACCCCAAGGGTTTTTTAGCAGCTATCTCTACAGAGGCCGATAGACAGCTCTTGAGGGTACAGCGTGCTTAACCGAAAAAGTCAGGAGGGGTGCACCCAGACCTTGAATAAATATGCTCTGAAGGACCCGGATGTGACTCGACTCCAAAAGCCACCTGGCAAAGAGAACTTAGGTCTAGCTGAAGGCAGCCGGAGATTAAAGTCTCACTGAACTGAACCCACCCGGAGATTAAAGTCTCGATTAACCAGAATACTCAAGGGTAACAGGGAATGAACCTTTACCATAGAGACTTTCAGATGTATCCAAGGGGGTCTACCCAGAAACAAACAACAAAAGCCTTTTACTTCACTGCTCTCAATAAGAACTTTACACTCCCTGCTGGGTTTGGTAGAGCACACTTGTACTTCCAGCACTCAGGAGGCAGAGGCAGGAGGATTTGCTGCAAGTTCAAAGCTAGCTTGGTGTATATATGAAGCTCCAAGCCAGGCAGGGCTACATAGCATAGCAAGAACACCAAAAATAAATATTTTTCTTTAAAGTAGAAGAACTTCACAGTCACAGTCCTTGCCTCATAATTCAGAGAGCAGTGGACACCAGAGTCTGGCATCTTGTGCGGCCCATGTACTAATGGGCACTTGGGTAGACGAACCCCTGGTGCCAGGTCTGTGGGAGACTGGCCAGTGATTTAAGAAGTAACAGGTTCTTATTTACCAGAACTATACGATGTGAGTGTTTCAAGTTTTACTTTACTATTTTTTATTTGTTGTAATTTCCCTTGCACCTAAAGGAGGTTAAAATAAAATCTTGGCTTACTGAGACCCTCTGTGTTAAATTCTGGTTAATCAGAGTGACCCTGTGTTTTGTGTTCCCTGCGTTCCTGCTATATCTTCCTATGGCCACACGTCCAAAAGGACAACACTGTTGGGCCCTGGAACACCATTCGGTGGTGATGCTTCCGAGCTGCCCAAGCTCTAGATGATATTCACGATTGCTGTAGGTTTCTTTTTAGCCATTTTGGGCCTGAAGTTCCCTTTCCGGCTCAGGCCCAGGTGCTCCCCTTTCTTGGCTGGTCTGAAGAATTCTCTCAGAGACTCAGCCTGTTCGTGAATGGCCTTGGTGGGCGGCATCCCTGCTCGTTCATCCTTGGCTTTCTTCAGGTAGCTTCTCCCCTTCAGATGGAAATGAGCCCTCAGCTCAGGATGATTGCAAACAGAATGCTGGTGCCCTCGGCTTCTGTAGGGGTCGGGAAGAGGAACACAGAGAGAGGCTTGTTAAAAGAAAAACAAACTAACTACTCCTGTCCACCATGGTGACCAAGCTCCCACAGAGATAAGTCACAGATAGTACAACTTCAATTCATGACAGTTTCTGAGACAGTTTAATGCTAAATCTAAGAGAGAGATTATTAGCGCTACTACAACAGGCACATAAAAAAAAGTGCTACCAGGATGATGTGCGTGGATGCAGGATGAACCCAACTCTTAACTCTTTAGGTGACCACCAGGAGAGTAAGCAAAACATGTTGTGTATATACTTTAAAGTATGTGAAGTATAAATAGTACATATAGAGCAATAATAATAATACATATCATATGTATATATGTAATATATAAACTTATATACTGTATATAATATATAATATATGCTATATAATATATAATATATGTGAGATATAAACATATTCATATATAAAACACATATTCATATATTAGTATACTATATATCATATGTATATGTGTAGTATATATATATACTATATATCATATATGTGTGTGAGGTATGAACATATATATATGTATATATACATATATAAAACACATACACACATATATATTATATATTAGTAAGAAGAAGTTACAGAAGATAATACCCTAGGACCATCACACCAGGATTGCTATAGTACCCCTCACAGAGCAGCTGCTCTTTAAAAGTGGCACCAGCATGGAGGCAACTATTCACATAAGCCTTTTAAAAATCCATGCATTGATATCTTATCAAACACAATAGGCTTAAAAAGACAGTTATAGGTATCTCATCGAACGCAACAAGAAGACACACAACATAAACATTATCCGATGGCTCATGTATAAGAAAGGCATACATACAGGCATCGGGGCTTCCTGTTCGGCGAGATGTCTGTGAGCTGATGGGAAATAAACAGGAGAAAGCATTAGTTTACCAGACCTAGGCTAGATGTGCCGCATGTACTCATAGGTGCGGGATGGTGGGTGAGGAGAAGGGACAGGCTGAGTGGAGTATTCAGTATGGGAGTGCACTTACCCTAGCAAGCACAGGAAGCATCTATTGAAAGACACTGGGCATATTCCTCTATTAATCTCCCAGATATTATGTCAAGACAGAGTCTCTCACTGAATGTGGAGCTGATTGTTAGGCTAGTGGCCAGTAAGTCAAAGGGTCATCTGCCAGTCTCCTGCTGTGCTGGCAGGGGCAGGGTGGGGGTTGGGGGTGGTGCACAGAGCCATGTATCACTTTTTACGTTGGTCCTGAGGTTCTGAACTCAGGTCTTCAAGCTTGCACGGAGAGCACTTTACCCACTGATTCATCTCTCCAGCTCCTGGACATGGTTTTACAACTCTATCTTGTTTAAAGACACTACATTCTCATTAAGGAGGTCTGTAAGCTGTCAGTGGCATTACCTAGGGAGCCATCCACTGCGTCAGAGAACGAGAGTGTCCCAGATTGGCTTATGCAATGAGCATCTCTGGACACCTGTTCTCAGTTTTCTAAGAAGCGTGTATCGGAATATCTCAAAACTTAAAAAAAAATATCAAAAAGCTTCTCAATACGTCAGGGTTGGGAAAAAAGACATGTTTTTAAAACCTGGCACAATGTATCATTATTTCTCAGGATTTGGCTGTATTTGCAATTGATTTAGTACAGCTGTAGCTAGTCACAGGGTACCAGCCGAGAGGAAATGATGATCAAATGATATTTCCTAAATATATCATTTCTAAAATGAGACCATATGAAGACCAAGCCCACAAGCATCCCCAAGACCATCTACCATCGAGATGATGTCCGTTCCAAGTACCATGCAATGAAATATCTGCCAGTACTTTGTGGCGGGGCTCAGAGTGCCTTCGTTGGGAACGTAAATTGATAATGATCATATCACGATCCAGATGTCATCTTTCCATGTACAGGGGAAGCCCAGGGTATTGCCAGCCATAGGTTCCCACCCTCCCTCGAGCAGCTCTGAGGAGGAGGATGTCTTGTAACATCATTAAGCAGACTCAGAAAACGGACAGTGAAGAAAATATCAGGGAATGGCCTCCTTGGAATTTGGACCAGGGGGTTATAACATGCTTAGTATCAGTGGAGGATTGGATCTCACATCGCCTCAGGACACCAAGAGCCATGAATACACAAGTCCCTTATACACAGTGCTGTAGTATTTGAGCATAACCTTCAATCCCCAGCCCCCATATACCTACATGGTGCATCGAACCTTTTCACACTGCCACATGGTGCTGTCATCTGCAAAGTTCACATTAGCAAACTCAAGTTATACAAATCACCCACACACAAAACCCCAAAATCGTTTTAATTAATTTATAATTCAGAGATAATTCATTCACAGAGATACTCGGCTGCAATCTGGCCATGAACCGGGCACACCTGCAAGCCTAAATCATCATTAGATTGTTTACAATACCTAATAAGGTGCAAAGGATGCATAAGTAGCTGTTATAAGATCCTTTAATAATAATGGAGTTGGTTGGGCAGTCGTGGTTCATGCCTTTAATCCCAGCACTCAAGAGGCAGAGGCAGGCAGATCTCTGTGAGGTTGAGGTCACCCTGGTCTATAGAGTTCCAGAACAACCAGAGCTACACCGAGAAACACTGTCTCAAACATCATCATCATCATCATCATCATCATCATCATCATCATCATCTTAGGGCTGGAGAGAAGAGACCCCTGGAATCATTACAGAGGAAGTGTAGAAAAATGGTAAGAGCCCGAGGAAAAGAGAGTTGGTTGTGAGATTGTGTCTCTTAGAAATGTCAGAGAGGCCACACACATGAAGTATCATCAACATGGCTGCCTAAACATGACCTGAACCACTATGACACAGACATGCTAACACAGAAGGGAAAAACAATCACAAAACCTCAATCCTAGACAAAGAACTATGGGCAACTGGGTAATGCTGAAAGAAGGAAGAGTATGTCGATTGTTTATCTGTCTTAGGGTTTTACCACTGTGAACAGACACCGTGACTATGGCAACTTTTATAAAGGACAACATTTAATTGGGGCTGGCTTACAGGTTCAGAGGTTCAGTCCATTATCATCAAGGTGGGAACATGGCAGCATCCAGGCAGGCATGGTGCAGGAGGAGCTGAGAGTTCTATATCTTCATCTGAAGTCTGCTTAAGAGAAGACTGGCTTCCAGGCAGCTAGGACAAAGCGTCTTAAAGCCCATGCCCACAGTGATGCACTTACTCCAACAAGACCACACCTCCTAAAGTGCCACTCCCTGGGTCAAGCATATTCCAACCACCACACTATCCAATACCAAGAGATCAGTCCTGATTTCATCACATACAGCAACCATTATACAGACTGAGCAAGCAAGTGGTACTATAAACTTACAAACGTACATATATATGTTACATATATATTTTATATTATATATACATACATATGTCATTCAAATACATATATATGTATACATATACAAATACAGTAACCATGGCTTTGAGAGAGAGGAAGAGATGAAAGGAGCTGGAGACAGAATGAAAATGGGAAGATGCTGTAATTACACCATAATTTTTTTAAAGGGGCACTCGTTGCTCTTCCAGAAGACCCTGGTATTTCCTGGTACCATGTGGTGGTTAATAGCCATCTCTACGTCCAGTTCCAGACGATCCATTGCACACATATGGTGCACATATATCCTTGCACACACATAGTCATACACATAATAACAAGGTTGGAGTGGTAGTGCACTCCTTCCATCCCACCCAGTATTTGGGGATAGACTGGCTTCTATAGGTTCCTAGCTGGACTGGACTACATAGTGCCTTCCAGGCTATCCAGAGATGGTGATGATGATGATGACTATAATAATATTTATTATTTATTACTTATTCACTTATTTTTCCCAAATACTTTTAGTGTGCAGGTTGCTGGACCTATGGTGATTGGGTTGGAGCCCTATAGGCTTCTGCGTTACAGGTATGCTGTTTTGGACTGCCACAGGTCTGACAGAACTGGCCATCCACCTCGTCTCCTCACCTCAGTGGCCCTCCGGCAGAGCCCAATGGCCTCTTCAGCTCTCTGCCGAGGCGCATCCTCGGCAATCCCCTCTCCTCCTCTGCTCCTCCCTCCCAGCCACTTCCTCTCTCCTCCTATCAAATTCGCTTCTGACTGTCTCTCCTTCTGATGCCCTTCCGCCCTCAAAGCCTTCTCACGGTTTCCCTGTGCACACTGGAAATAGACCTCAACTCCGCTTGCAATCCGCAACGCTCTGAAGTCGCCTCGTACCACGTGACCACGCCAAGCTTGTTCCTTCTATCCACACTGTCCTTCCCTTGAACATCCTGCTTCTGACGTCCCACAGACCTGTTATCCAGGGTAAAGTAAAGATCTAGGGATCTTTCGGTCCATCAACCCGAAGCAACTCCCCACCCTGAACACCTCAAATATATACGGTCTTCCTCCCTCGTTGTAGTTAGTCACCATGCAAAATACAAGAACGCCATTACTGATTTCGCTGTCCCTCCAAACAAGAGGAAAAGGACCTTGTTTGGCTTTCTCATGGCATCGGAGCTTCATAAGCACTGTGCTCTCCATAAATAAGTGTTAAGTGAATGACTGCTAGTCCTCAGTTAGCAGCCAGGAGTCAGTACTTAAAACAAGATTATCCAGGCTGCTTCACAAGCCTCTATCTGAGCATGGCTTTTTTTTTTTTTTTTTTTTTTTTTTTTTTGGCAGATGGGATATTAGGTCACTTTGTGCCTAATTTGACAGCATTTTTTTTTTTTCAGAGCACAAAGATAAAATATCTGAGTAAGCATCCTATATTTTTAGAAGTCAGCCAGGTGGAAGATAAAGAACACAAATGCTCAAGGGGATTCAGGCAAAGATGCAGAATGCCAAGCGTTGTTTCAGAAAAGGCACAAAAGGTGAAGGGAAGGGAAAGCATCCCCAGAAGAATGCAAGGCTAAGAGTCACCTTCTGGAAGAGGCAGCCCACTTAGCGATGTGAGGACTGCCCTTTCTAGGGGAAAGGGAAAGGGAACGTGGGGAGACAGCCGTGGATCCTCAGTGTGCAGCCTGCAAGGAGAGAGAGGACAGGGCTGGAGCGTGAGAGAGATCGAGTGATCCCTCATCACTCTGGAGGAGGGACATGAGGGTGCTGGCAGGAAGAGATGAGACTTGGGAGAGCTCCGGGCAAGGATGTCTGCTCGTCCTGTGTGGTATTAGGTAACTATTCTGGGTGAGTCCAGAAGCCCGGGTAAGATGGGCACTCTGCGACACACTATGCTGGGCCAAACAGCTGGTTCAAAGTTCTTCTTGCTAAAAACAGCTAAGCTATTCTGTCTCCATACTGGCAGAGAATGTGATAAAGCAGACATAGCTCTCTGATTATATCGAAGATATGGCTGCTTATTTTATAGACAGATGTATATGAGTCTGGGTGCATATGAGAGTGAGGGGAAGAGAAGGAGAGGGGGGAAAGGGGAAGAGAGAGATCAATAGACAAAAAGAGGGGAGGGAGGGAGGGAAGGAAGGAGAAGGAGCACCCACACTCCCATTGTAGAGTCTGCAGACTGCCCAACTGGACCCAAGAAAGAGTTGGGGAAGATACAGAGCAAGAGGATAAACTACCAATACGAGTGCCTAATCCCTTGGGGAATCACTCCGTACTCTGGGTCCGTCCAAAGCCAGAGCTTCAATCTACATCAATGACGCCGGTCCTTTCACTTCCAGTCACTCAGTTCTCATATCTAAACTGCACATTACAATCTCAACTGCACCGGGCATCACTTGGATTAGCCAGTGCTTCCTTCGGTTGAGCCAGCTGGCTGAAGGCAGATCATGTGACCGAGCCAGAAACGAGACAAACATAAATATTTAATTTCCTACCATGGGTGAAGGAATTTGTTTGTGTACCTTGTACACAAACACAAATACACACACACACATATTGTGCAGTATATATGAGTGAGCTTGTGTGTGTGTGTGTGTGTCATGTGAATATGCACATGTCTACATGTGTATATATCTGTGTGAGTATACATACATTGATATGTTTTGTAAAACTTGGTATGATGTGGTGAGAGAGGGTACCTTAGTGGGCCCATGCTGAGGCACCCCCCCACACACCCAGGTACAAGCCATATGACAGGTTTAGTATGAAACAGAGTTTATTTGGGGACATGGGAAGGGGGGGTTGAGACGGGACTAGAAGTAGAGACAGAGAAGAACAGTGTGTGTGTGTGTGTGTGTGTGTGTGTGTGTGTGTGTGTGTGAGAGAGAGAGAGAGAGAGAGAGAGAGAGAGAGAGAGAGAGAGAGGAGAAAAGGCTGGCCAAGAACACGCAGAGAGGGGGGGAGGGGGAGAGGACAGAGAAGGAGAGAGAGGAGAGAGAGAGGGAGAGGGAGAGGGAGAGGGAGAGGGAGAGGGAGAGGGAGAGGGAGCATGAGAGCAAACAGTCCTTTTATAGCAAGCCAGGCTTGTACCTGGCTGTTGCTAAGTAACTGTTGGGCGGAGCCAAGAAGAATCACTAACATACACTGTCTGTGCATACATAGTTCCATGTGGGTATCTGACCAGAAGAAGTGGGATGCTATTCAACATTTGATTACAAGATTAAATACATGTGAGATCGTTATTGCTACGACTCTTCAAAGATCAACGTTCAAGCTGGGAAAAAATGCTGAGCAAAGGGCGTAAGAACAGAGATACAAAGAGGGGCCATGTCTGGCTTCCTTCCTTCCTGCCTGCCTTCTACTGTTCTCTATTCTAAGACCCCATCGTCGACAGAGTTCAGGGTTTTGCACATGGCTGTGTTTGGGTGACTTATCCACCTATACACCAAAAAGGTTAATACTGCCTTACAGCCTCAGGACTCTGAGACTCCAGTCACAGGGAAGCTGACAATGCAGAAAGCTAAAAGGGTGTCTGAGAACACTGGGCACACTCACTTCATTTCCCGGAAGACTAGCAGATCCACAAAGGCTCAGCTCCACAAGAAGCAAGTGAAGAGGGTTCTAGAGTCAAGACTTTTCACCTCACATTTGTGCTCCATGACCTCAGGCCATAACCCTTCCCCGTGGGATGGGATGAGGCAAGAAGGTGGCCAGAGAGGGCTCAGAGTGTCCCTCCAGCCACTGCTAGCCAAGAGAGGACATCCCAGAACTAGCTAACATTCTTGGGGTCTTCTGAGAAGGAAACGGAGGACTTGCTGTGATGGTTTGAATATGCTTGGGCCAGAGAATTACACTATTAGGAGGTGTGGCACTGTTGGGAGGTGTGGCCCTGTTAGAGTAGGTGTGTCACTGAGTGTGGGCTTTAAAACCCTAGTCCTAGCTGCCTAGAAGCCAGTGTTCTGCCAGCAGCCTTCAGATGAAGATGTAGAACTCTCAGCAACTCTTGCACCATGTCTGCCTGGATGCTTGCCATGTTCCCGCCTTGATGATAATGGACTGAACCTCTGAACCTGTAAGCCAGTCCCAACTAAAGGTTCATTTTAAGAGTTGCTTTGGTCATGGTGTCTGTTCACAGTAGTAAAACCCTAACTAAGACACTTGGGGGGTGATAGTTCTGCCTCAAGAGGGTTACACAGAGTACACAGGCACCTCCCCTGGAAAAGAAGAGATAGGGCATACCAGCAGGTCTGGAGTATAGTCCTGAAACCTCACATACAGACTCACCTCCTTAGTTAAGTTACTTTTGACCTGGAGAGGAGAGGTGAAATCAGGTTTTATTTATTGTATTTCATTTTATTTTATACTCATCTTTCCATCCCTCTAAGGTTGAACTGTACAGCAGGCAGATCTGACCATCCACTCACCCTGCCTAAAGACTGAATAGACAACCTATTACCCTTCAGAAGCCAGGGAGTCTTGATCAAGCACGCTACTTAAGACGACCCTGGGTCATGAAACATAGCCAGGGGGGTTCATCTAGGCTGGTGGCTGGCTTCATCCCTGGAAACTTCTGTGTGAAATAGTAACCAAAACCTATCACCTGCCATGGGTTCTTTCTGAATATCCACTCAAAGAAAGTTTCACAGTGAGGACCATGGAAGAATGTTTCCCTCTGCTGTAAGGAAGGCTGAGTGTCCGTGTACATGGTTGGATCTTGCTTTCTTGAAATGATAATCCTTAGAACAGAATATCATGTTGAAGACCTTCAAACATGGGTACCTTCTGGCCTACATGAAAACTAAGACCGGAATGCAGATGTTTCCAACTTTGTCCTTTAACACGTGTAGAAAAAAATTATGTCTACCAATTCAGCTTGGAATGGGGGTCATAAAAGAACAGGTAAGTGTGTACCTCAGACTCAGCTTCCTCCCTGAAGCCATGGTAACCATGGTCAGAAAGAAGCGTGGTCTGGCTAGGAACGTCAAATGACACCTAGGAAGACTCTGAGTCACACAGCTCCCTTGCTTTCTGTCCTAGCTCTGTCTAGGTCCATTCCGACTGTATCCAGGGGGCCTTAGGGCTGGCACCTGGCTATCTAGGGACTCACCATGTGCTCACTAGTGTCACGGCTGAAACCGGAGGCCTGCTGGCTTTCATAGTACTCCAACTGCTTCTCTGCCAATTCCACCCGTTGCAGCAGGTTCTCAATAAAGTCCTGGAGCCTCGCTTTTCCTTGGACCTCCTTCTCCGCCGCTGCTTCCAGGAAATGGTTGAATGTGACGACTTCTCTGCAAGGACAAAGACACAGAGTGACACGGGGAGTCATTCACTGAGCACATGGAGAGTCCCCAGACAGGCAGCCAGCCAGCTACTCAGCATCCTGACAGCCATGGCTGTAATGGCTGTAACGAGAGAGGGTTACGACTGCATGCTGGCGGAGGACGACAGTTACAGTAGAAGGTAAACAAATGCGTTCTGTCAGGAGTTAGCAACTCTGAAAACTAAGCGCAAGGTGACAAAGGGACTGCCGTTGGTGGGGCGGCTACATTTCAGAAAGCAAAGTCAAGATCAACCACTTAGATGGAGACACCTGGAGGAAGTCCTGAGGACGAAGCCATGGAGACACCTGGGAATCGTAAACCAGGTACTCCAGAGACATGCAGATGGGTCTGAGCCCATTGGAGGACGTGCGCATGGACAAGGAGGTGGGAGATTCCTAGGTCACCATGAAGATCCCAGAAGTATGGAAAATGACATGAGAGACGACTGAGAACCACTGAGAGCTACATCTTTATCTCCCTAAGGAATGGTAGGGGGGTTCTGGGTAGGGAAGCCTGAAGGTTAGAGCTGAGTCCGTAGCTCAGTTGGTAGATTGCTATCCTAGCATGCCAGAAGCCTTAGGTTTGATCCCCAGAAACATTTACAATTGTTCATGGTGGTGCGTGCCTGTGATGCACTTGGGAGATGGAGGATTTGAAGTTCAAGGTCATCCTCGGCTACCTAGTAAGTTCAGGGCCAGCCTAGGTGACATGAGACTCTGCCTCAAAACTGGAACAACAAAATGCAGGAAGCTGACCATGTTGTATGTATAACGTCTCTAGTAATTATATTGTAGAACATAAAACATTTGTTCAAGGTACCCAACAGAACAATGGGTCTCCATATAAGAGAACGAAATGTTCATAATCTATCCCACACATATACTCTGTGGAGAGCCGCATAGTGCCACACCTTAATATGGCGCCCGTTCTCTGTCTTCCACCACCTGTTGGTGAGTCCTCTTAGGAGTAAACAAGTCCTTATTTGGCTGAGGCTAGTGATCTGGCTTGCTTCCGTGTATGTGGGCCTATCTGCTGTTGCCACGTGGCAGACAGGGATAGGCTATTCCTAGAGTACTTAAGCCTGGGAGAGGCTTCCTCCGGGGTCTTTCGCTTTACAATCAATGGTGTGTTCCCCAATAAAGTGAGTGAAGAAGGATCCTGTTGTTGCGTCATCCTTGCTGTCGAGGTGGGCGTGACAATACTCTTTTAGAAACTACCAGCTATTATTAAGGTTTGGCCCTGTATCATCAGCTGTTGTCGGCAAAGGAGATTCAAACACCCCTTAGCCGTCTCACTGGGTCTCTGTGTGACCCCATATTTCTTTCATCTAATTTTTCCCCAAAACAAGTTGGCTACTAAAAGTATCCCTAGGGAGGAGTGAGAAGGCTCAGTGGGTAAGAGAACTCGCAGCATGAGCCTGTGCCTTGAGTTTGGTCTTCACACCAACAAAAATAGGAGACTACCAGCTCCGGGAAGCTGTCCTTTGACCTCCACACCTCTGCCCACACTCACCCACACAGGCAACAATAACAAATAAAAAATTTACAAGTAAACTGTAGGTGTGAAACTTTTAAAAATCAATGTTCCTCTTCTCACTAAACTGTTTGGCGGGAGATAGTTTTCATAAAATCTGTGGTTTGGGCTAACAGAGCATTTTGTGTGGCAGCTAAGGCAGACATTATATGCGGTAGATCCTGAAATATCCAACGTCAAGGCTTATGACTAAGAGGGAGAAGAATGAGATGCAATCTCCCAGGACAGTGAAACTCGTTTGCGGCTATAATTTAGGTTCTTGTCCTGCTGAGTCAGAACACTGTGTGAAGCTCTCAAAGGCCAGAGGCAAAGATAAGGGCCAATCTTAGTGAAATTCAGCCAGGGTGTGGGGGGGGAATAAATCTCTTTAACTATTCTTAAGTCACTTCCTGTCCCATTTTTTATCACTTATTTTTTAAGAAGAAGAGTAAAATAGTATTAAATTCAAGATCATATGAAAAATATGCCTATTAAAAGTAACGTTTGACTCTAAAAGGAGGGGAATGACGGTTACAGTGTAAGAAACTGACATTGAAGTTTCATCACTATGCAGAGTGGGCCACAGCCCCCAAGACACTGATTCATCCCCAGGAGGCAAAGGCATTCTGGAACCAACACAGTCAAAGGAGGCACAGAGGAAAAAGCCCTTTCTATGCAGCCAAAACCTTAGTGAGAAAAAAAGAATGTGTTTATTCATCCGCTTACTCATTTATAGGACGGCCATAAACTGCAAGCTGAATGACATTACTTTGATTTATTACTGTATTTATTTATTTACTGTGTGTATGTGCACGTGTGTGTGTGTGTGTGTGTGTACATGTGCATTCTCACAAACATGCGTCTACATGCCACACTGCATTTGTGAAGGTCAGAAGACAACTCATAGGACTGAGTTCTCTCTTCCTACCACACGGATTCTGGGGTTCAAACTCAGGTCTTCGGGCTTGATAACAAATACCTTTAACTTGCTGGGTCCTCTTGCCAACCCCTGGATCACCTCTTCTGAGATGAGTTAAAGGCAGCTAACCTTGGGGAAAAAATCAAAATGCACTGTCATGTGATCAGCTTGCCTAGAAGCAAATTTAGACAGTGATAGGTGCAGGGAGGAGGTGGTTCAGGGGATACAAACATCTTGGTGTGGTGGCCTCCAGGTTATAATCCTAGCACTGTGGAGATGGAGACGGACAAACAGATCCATTGGGACCACTGGCATCCTAGCCTATTTGTGAGCCCGAGACCAGTGAAAGACTGTCTCCAAAAACAAGGTGGATAGCACCTCATGAACTACATCCAAGGTTGACTTCTGGATTTCACACATACACACACATATGTGTACTCGCACACACACACACAGACACACTACACACACATCACACACATCATGCACACATGTACACACACATATGCACACACAGAGACACCACACACACATGCACACAAGTACACTCATGCACACACATACCATACACTCATGCACATCCACACACCACACATAATACACACACATACCACTCACACATGCACACACACACACACAGACACACTACCGGTGCATGTCCACACAAACACACACAGAGACATACCACACACACCACACATGCACTTGTACACACAGAGACACCACACACGCTACACACACACGGACACACACAGTGTGGGTGAACAAACTGACAGAAGTGAACATTAACATGTCATGCGTGATGTTCACAATTTGCATGCATCTGTTGAACATTACTAAGGAGAGATAACGTATGGCCCCTATCACCTATTCCAGCTTGCTGTCAAAGGCCATTTCTTATCTTTCTGACTTCCTGCATTCCAGCACCCAGCCAGATTCATACCTGTGACAAGCTATTCTCTCATCGAGCACCTCTCCCTAGTCCCCTGCCTTAATGCTGTCTGTAACCTCAGGGTCTCACTGCAGAAACCATTCGCACACCCCCAATTGTAGTGACACGGGGTTCTGTACTCCCACAGCATCCTTTAAAACCCTGTCAGGGTACACACCACAGGAGACCAGTTATGTGACTTACCCATTTCATCATAAAAATCATTGAGTCTGGGGAGCATATTAGTTACTGGCCTTGCTGTGGCAAAAGATGCTACGAAAGCATCTTTAACAAAGAAAACCTTTATTTCGGCTCACAGTCCCAGAGGGTGACCTCCGTCATTGAGGGACTCACCGAGTCAGGAGCTTGAAGCAGCTGGTCCGTGACACCAGTTTAGGAAGCAGAGAGGGATGCAGGCCGGTACCCAGTTCAGTCTTTCCTTTTTCTTTAGCCCAGGACCCCACCCCATAGAATGCTGCTGCCCAGGATGCAGATGGATCTTTCCACTCAACTACCCTAATGGAGATAATCCCTCAAGGATGTGCTGGGAGATTTGTTTCCATGGTAACTCTTAAATCCCATCGAGTTGACCGACAAGATTAACCACTGGGGGCACTGTGTGCAGTCCACAGGAGTCCAGCAGATAATGGGGACCTTAACAGATTCTTAATGAAGTACAAATGTACAACCAGGGCTCTAGCTGAGCAACCCAAGGAACAGAAATAACCCTTTGCTCCTTTTCAGGTCAGCCTCGGGGCATAAGCCAAAGAATAAACCACAGACACCTCTTTCAGGAGTAGGGTGGGATCTAAAATGGACTCCTGTCCTCGACTCTTAAAAAATCAGACTGGCTTCAATTCCCGAGGGGAGACTCCACCGAGTTATTTAAATTTCATTTTACATTACTGATTTATGAACCTATTCAGGAGTATATGAAATGATAAAAATACCTCCAGCTAAAAATAGCCTAACTATTGATCACACAGCACCTCAGATGCTCTGTAATGTCAGCCGTGAGGTGAGCCGAAGAGCAAGGGTCACTCCAGGCACCAAGAGCCTAGCTACAAGCTCGGAGGCCAGTGTATGGTCCCCTGCTCCCCAGGGAGCCACCCAAAACACTGGCTTCTTTCTGGTTTGGTGGCCCCTTCCCTCTCCTTTCTCTTTTGACTTTTCAGATAAACAAGTATGCTCTTTATGAAGAGTTTTTCAGCCTAGAGTACACATGGAGGGTCCCATGGGTCCAGCTGCATATGTAGCAGAGGATGGCCTTGTCAGGCATCAATGGGAGAAGAGGCCCTCGGTCCTGTGAAGGCTCAATGCCCCACTGTAGGGGAATTCGAGGGCGGGGAGGCAGGAGTGGGTGGGTGGGTGGCTGGGGAAACACCCTCATAGAGGCAGGGGAGGGGAGATGGGATAGGGGGGTTCTGGGGGAAGAGGAACTGAAGAAGGGGATAACATTTGAAATGTAAATAAAGAAAATACCCAAATCAATAAATAAACAGAAAGAAAAGAGTTTTTCTTGGAGGAGTGGCAGATTGGAGGAGATATCTCAGTGGGTATCGTGCCTGCTGCAAGCATGGGGAGCTGAGCTCAGATCTCCTAAAC